GTGTATGGGTTGCGTCAAGCCCCACATATGTGGTATTCCAAGCTACGTCACTTTTTGTTGGAGCTAGGGTTTCGTGGCACTTCAACTAATGCATCGTTGTTTATTCGCCGAGTTGATGGAGTTTGCTCAGTTGTCTTGGTATATGTAGATGATATCATTATTACGGATGAGTCTCGTGATGTTATTAATGATGTGGTTTGATTGCTTGGTCAGAAGTTTTCTTTGAAAGACTTGAGTGAGCTTGGCTATTTTCTTGGTGTCGAGGTTCGTAGGACGCCTGAGCAATTGGTATTAAGTCAATACAAGTTTGTTCGAGGGCTGTTGGAGCAAACAGGAATGGTTAATGCTAAGCATGCACCTACACCGATGGTGGTGTCACCAAAGTTGACTTGTGATGCTGGGAAGCCACTTGCAGATACGTTGATGTATCGGAGTATTGTTGGGTCCTTGTTGTATTTGAGTCATACATGACTAGATATAGCCTTTAGTGTTAATCGTGTGGCTCAGTATATGCATCGTCCTTGTGATGGTCATGGGCTTGCTATCATGGTTTGGTATTCCGATCATCAACTGCGTTTGAAGCTTGTTGTGTTACTGCTTTTGCTTATGTTGATTGGGCCAATAATGTAGATGATCGTCGGTCAGTGTCTGGGTCGTGTGTGTTTCTTGGGTGTAATCTAGTTTCATGGAGTGCTAGAAGGCAGAAGACGGTAGCTCGATCAACAACTAAGGATGAGTATCGCAATATTGTTGATACAGTGTCTGAAGTAGTTTGGATCAGGTCCTTGTTAGCTGATATGGGTGAAGTGGTGTTTATAACTCCTATTGTGTGGAGTGACAACACAAGTGCCATTGCCATGAGTGCTAATCCAATGTTTCATGCTCGTTCTAAGCATATAGAGTTGGATCTACATTTTGTGCGAGAAAAAGTGGCTTGTGGAGCTGTTCAGGTAAACTATGTGCCTGCAGAACATCAAATAGCTGATGGGTTGACTAAACCCTTAGTGAAGTCTGCGCACGATTTGTTTCGATAGAAAGTTCAAGTTGCTGCAGTCGAGAAGGAGACAACTGAGAAGGACGGGGAGAATGTTGAAGTATAGTGAGGATGTTGCGTGCATGGTCAACAATGATAGTTAGGGTTATTGTGTGCATGTTGAGCAGGTTGGTTAAGTAGTTAGTTGAAGTTGTTAGGAGTCTGTTAGGAGGATGTTAGAGGCTCATTACTTGTATATATACTGGTATAGTTCTTTAATGAAAAGCAAGCAAGTTCAATGTAATTTCTATATCACTTCATAAACATTTTACTTGAGTTTTAACAAGCAGACCACTTGAAGCGCGACAATTACCCTCTTCTAATTCTTCCTTTCTTTTGCGACATCCAAAAAGTACAGTCATTTCATCTCATGTGGAGTCTCAAGCAAGTATCAACCTCGAATCGGCATAGGCATATCCATGATTTTAGACACCATCTGTTGCATGGCTGCTGCAACAGTCGAGGCTCGGAGATTAGACGTGGTCAAGAGTCATGGTTTACTCGATAACCCCGATGACGAAACTCCCATGTTTTTCATCGTATTGGTACCTCAGTTCGTGTTGCTTGGTGTCATCGATGGAATCATCGAACAAAGCGTTTCTGGTTTCTTCAAAAACCAGGTTCCTCCCACCATGAGACCGTACCTAAAATGGTTGAGCGAGGGGATTTGAGGAGTAGGGATAATCGGCGGTGCGTTGTCGGTGGTAGTAGTCGGAAAGATTAGCCAGATGGGTGGGAGAACTATTAGTACACTTGCAAAATGAAGTTTCTTTCTTTCTTTCTCTTAGTTCTATTTTATTGTCAAATCTAATTACATTCGCAATTAAAACTTTTAGTGTTGAAACTTTTATTTGAACTGAGTAAGAGAGTGTACATATACCTTGGTATTTTCTACAGGTCACCGGGAAACTCACAGCTTTGAAGGGTTTGGATGCTAGGTTACAAGAGCTACGTACTTACCTTGATCTTGTTATTGATGAGAAGCTTCCTTTGAATCACGAGATACTTTACTATTTACAGGTAAAATAAATTGAGAAAACAACGAAGCTAAAGACATTTTGCAATTGTGAACTTTTAAGTTTTAATATCCCGAATACGCTAAATGTGGGTTGTTTTGCTGTACGACGCTTAAAAACGGTTAATATTCGGCGTGATCGGTTAAATAAGTGACCGGTTAAAATTTAGATAGGTTATGTTATATTATTTAACCGGAAATATTATCAAGTACAATAACATATTAGGTAACGCTTATATAATGTAATAGATAGCGCTTATATAATAAAATAGGTATTTAACCGGAAATATTATCAAGTACAATAACATATTAGGTAGCGCTTATATAATGTAATAGATAGCACTTATATTGACCTATTTTATAAGTAAATCGGTATATTTATACCGGTAACATTACAAATTTACCTATTACATTATAATTATCGGTTTCGATATTTTTTGGATCGATACTTTTTATAAATGTATCGACACTATATGCGTTCACCTTTTGTCATTTATAAACCGGTTTTATCATATTTTTACATGTTATATTAGTATGGATCGATACATTTTTATAAAGTATCGACACTTTATTGGTGCTATAACTTCTTCTCTTATTAATTCCAAAAGTGTCGATACTTATAATAAATTATCGACACTTTCAACATATCCGGTAGCGCTTTATATGTTTTGTCATTTCGAGACCGGTTTTGTCATATTTTTACCTGTTATATTGTTATGGATCGATACATTTTTATAAAGTATCGACACTTTATTGGCGCTATAACTTCTTCACTTTTAAATTCCAAAAGTGTCGATACTTATAATAAATTATCGACACTTTCAACATAACCGGTAGCGCTTTATCTGTTTTGTCATTTCGAGACCGGTTTTGTCATATTATTACATGTTATATTGTTATGGATCGATACATTTTTCTAAAGTATCGACACTTTATTGGCGCTATAACTTCTTCTCTTTTAAATTCCAAAAGTGTCGATACTTATAATAAATTATCGACACTTTCAACATAACCGGTAGCGCTTTACTTGTTTTGTCATTTCGAGACCGTTTTGTCATATTTTTACATGTTATATTTTTATGGATCGATACATTTTTATAAAGTATCGACACTTTATTGGCGCTATAACTCTTCTCTTTTAAATTCCCAAAGTGTCGATACGTATAATAAATTATCGACACTTTCAACATAACCGGTAGCGCTTTACCTGTTTTGTCATTTCGAGACCGGTTTTGTCATATTTTTACATGTTATATTATTATGGATCGATACATTTTTATAAAATATCGACACTTTATTGGCTCTATAACTCTTCTCTTTTAAATTCCAAAAGTGTCAATACGTATAATAAATTATCGACACTTTCAACATAACCGGTAGCGCTTTACATGTTTTGTCATTTCGAGACCGGTTTTGTCATATTTTTACCTGTTATATTGTTATGGATCGATACATTTTTATAAAGTATCGACACTTTATTGGCGCTATAACTTCTTCTCTTTTAAATTCCAAAAGTGTCGATACTTATAATAAATTATCGACACTTTCAACATATCCGGTAGCGCTTTACCTGTTTTGTCATTTCGAGACCGGTTTTGTCATATTTTTACCTGTTATATTATTATGGATCGATACATTTTTATAAAATATCGGCACTTTATTGGCGCTATAACTTCTTCTCTTTTAAATTCCAAAAGTGTCGATACTTATAATAAATTATCGACACTTTCAACATAACCGGTATCGCTTTACCTGTTTTGTCATTTCGAGACCGGTTTTGTCATATTTTTACATGTTATATTGTTATGGATCGATACATTTTATAAAGTATCGACACGTTATTGACGCTATAACTTCTTCTCTTATTAATTCCAAAAGTCGATACTTATAATAAATTATCGACACTTTCAACATAACCGATAGCGCTTTACATGTTTTGTCATTTTGAGACCGGTTTTGTCATATTTTTACATGTTATATTGTTATGGATCGATACATTTTTATAAAGTATCGATACTTTATTGGCGCTATAACTCTTCTCTTTTAAATTCCAAAAGTGTCGATACGTATAATAAATTATCGACACTTTCAACATAACCGGTAGCGCTTTACCTGTTTTGTCATTTCGAGATCGGTTGTCATATTTTTACATGTTATATTGTTATAAATCGATACATTTTTATAAAGTATTGACACTTTATTGACGATATAACTTCTTCTCTTTTAAAAAAGGTAAAATTTACCTAATATGTTGAAAGTGCCCATACTTTTTATAAAAATGATCTATACTTTTTTTAAAGTTATGTAATTTATGTTTCAATTTTTTTTAATAGTGTTTCATGTTTTCCACCAACAATATTAGTTTAATAATTTCATTTACACAAAAAATTATTTAATTGTTTTGATATTTTATAAAATATTATTTAGAATTTAAATTTAACAATATGTTTAGGTAGAAAATGTATTGACACATATTTAGGTAGTTATTGTACATACCTAAATATGTACTACGAATTTAATGTTATATCCACCCTTTAACTACCAATACCAATACCACATCCTATTGAAAGCAGCACGACTGAAACATGTTCAAAATGAACCTTTGCTTACATCTCCATCAACGAAGTGTCGATCCTTATATTAAAGTACCGACACTTTAAATATATTCGGTACCGCTTTACTGGTTATATCATTTCAATATTGGTTTTGTCATAGTTTTACATGTTATATCGTTGTGGATCGATACATTTTTAATTTGGATTGACACGAACCGACAAGTTAAGTTTGTCGGTTGCACAATTTTTTAATATTTCTTCATGACTTAGACCTACTACATTATTATTAGTCAACATTTCCGATAGCGCTAAACCGAATTTGTTAAATATCTTTTAATATATCCGGTAATGTCGTATATTAGTCGTATATTAACCCGCCGTTCCTGAGACATTCCCGCTAAATGTCCCTTGAATTAATCAAGACTTTTGCAGGTAATGCAGGATTAACGTCCCGTGTCAAAAAAATGCTGAAAATGCTCGCTGTTTTCAGATTAGATGGGGGATGTTTAATAAGTTTTGAAGTTCTTGATCCATATTCTGTGTTTATAATGCAGTAAAAACAAATGAAATGATGTTGGTTATATATCTGTCATCTCTCATTCGAAGTGTAATTGCACTCCATAACTTGATCAATAACAAGGTGAGAACCCAACTCATTTCCCCTTTATTCCATGGTGGAGAATGCGGGTGGTGTTTTGACTGGCAACTTTTGGTTTTCAGATGCTAAACAAAGAACATGAGAAAGCCGAGGACGCAAAGCCAGCAACTGTCCAAGCTGCCAGTTGAAGCCGAATATCATCAATAAAGGCTCATATAATTCTTCTAAATTTAATTTTATAATTAATAAAATACAATCTAGTAAATTTCATTACATTTTCAAAATAATAAAATATTTAAAATTGAGTGCTCATTTCTATAGGTGTAAATGAACATATTGTTCAACGAATTATTTTTGAATAGTTCGTATAACGTTTGTTTATGTTCATTTACTAAGCTAAAAAAATGAGAATGAACAATAATTTTATATTCATTTAATAAATATTAAATGAACATGAACAAATGTGTGTTTGGTTCGTTTATGCTAATGAATAAGTTCGAGTCATTCTAGTGTAATTAAAAGTGGTGGAAATGATTATGATTTGTATTTATAGTTTATAAAATTACATTTGACTAGGCTACTAAAGCTGACCTAGCTCAGTTGTTTGAGCGGAGGACTGTAGTTGGTTAAAAGCCCTCAGCTAATCCTTAGGTAGCTGGTTCGAATCCGGCAGGTCGGACGTTTTTTCTTTTTCAATTTTCCTCTTGATATATTTGTTCTCTCAAATCAAAAGAGGAAGAAGATTTCATTAGGAAAAGAATTTATCACTCAGTTGCTTAAATCCACGAATAATCAAAAAGAATAAAAATGGTAAGAACTCTATATTTCGTTATAATTATATGAGGATTATAAAATAGTATTTATTTAGAGTTTTAAATAATTAATTATGAAGACGTAGTTGTTAAATTGAAAATTTTTAGAAAGAATAATACTTTACTTTTAATTATTAAAAATAAAGTTTATAATTGATAGTTTCATCAATCAACTCGATTACTTGCTGATATAAAATAGTCGTAGAAAACTAAAGACATAAGAAATCAAATTGCATGTGTTATCCGACAAAACAAGCAAAGTACTGTATGCGTACAAAAGATAAAACAGTAGCAGATCAAATCATAAATTTATTTGCTTTAACAGGGCGTACTCTCATGTCTTAATCTCTTAATAACAAATGTCTGCCATTAAGTTAATTTATAAATTCAGATAAAAAAAGAAACAATTATTGTTTGAAACTGGACTAACGAATTTTGACAAAAACAAGCAAAGCATATTCATGGAATATGTCAATATTTCCACCGTCATTATTTAACAACGAAATTAGCTTGAATTTGGATAAGACACTTGCAGAATACCATTCTAACAACAAGCATATGCTCAATGAGCTTCCCTTTGATATTCCTTTCAGTCTCAGCTTTGAACGAATATCCAGTCTCTGTGTATTCCATAGATTCCTTTACCAAATCTTCCGTTTTCCATCAAAAAGCTTCTACCCTCTTGATTGTTCAACGTTCCAACCCGACCCCTCCCTCTATAATTTATAAACATGTCTACCACTACCTGTTGTTATACTTCTTCTACTTTATACCCTCACATTTCTGTCAAAGTTTTGCCTTTTTCTTCTTTTTCAACCATACCCCATTTGCCTGATTTGTAAAAGAAGTCAGTTTCCTGTAATAGAAGTTTAGCTGTTGTTGTAAGAGGTTGTGAATATGACTATTACAGAGGTGAGAGAAGACGATAGGGAGGCTCCTTCGATTGATCCTGATATTGATTCTGGGCCTCGTCGTGTTGTTCTTTTTGTTGAGCCTTCTCCTTTCTCGTGAGTTCTCTCTCTCTCTGCTCGAGGAGACCCTTTTCTTTCTGCATTTGATTTCTTGTTGTCGTTGCTGTAAATTTGAAGTCTTTTTTTTATATTTCATATGACAGCTCACTGAGTTCATTTTCTTTTTCCATGTCGCAGATATGTATCAGGGTATAAAAACAGGTTCCAGAATTTTATTAGATACTTAAGGGAAATGGGAGATGAGGTAATCCCATTATATCTCTGCTGTCATTATGCTTACTAATTGATTAGCTAAATTATTGCCTTATGATGCAATTAATTACTGAGAGTTCATTTCATTACCTTATGATTTGATTTGATTCGATTCGAGTAATTTCGAACGGCAGTGGTAATGGTCAAACGACTCGGTTAACAGTAGCTAGCAGTTGTGACCAACAGTTTACTATAGTTTGCAGACATGTTTTGGAACAATGAACTAAAAGTAATGGTATTGGTCGTAATAGGTCTTGGTCGTAACAACACATGAAGGAGTCCCGCAGGAGTTCTATGGGGCGCAGTTGATTGGATCAAGAAGGTTAGTGTAATCAAACTAAATTCAAGTTATAGTTTACATCATTTCTTTTTTGTTCTTTCCTATGTGCCTTTTCTTTTTGTATAATTTTTCTTCTTCTTCTTCCTCCCTATTTCAGCTTCCCCTGTCCTTGTTATCAGAATGTGCCCCTTTCCTTGGCACTCAGTCCGAGAATAATTTCAGCTGTTTCACAGTTTAAGCCTGATATAATCCATGCCTCTTCACCTGGAATCATGGTATGTTTCTAATTGTTGCTACGTGAGTTATTGATAGATTCCTGCTGATTCATACTAACTGCATTCCAGGTTTTCGGTGCTCTGGCGATCGCGAAACTACTGTCAGTACCCATAGTCATGTCTTATCACACCCATGTTCCAGTGTGAGTACGATTCTTCTTTGATTCACCTGTTGAATCCTTCATGTCACGCCAACAATGAAACCATGAAAACCATTTGCTGCTTTTCAAAAAAATTCCATTGCAGGTTTAAATCCACTAGAACTGATCTATGTACTCGACCCCGAGATCTAACTTTTATTTCATTCTACAGGTATATCCCAAGATACACATTTAGTTGGTTGGTGAAACCTATGTGGTGGGTACTAAGTAAGTAAGATGTATTATTTTCCCCTCCTTTTTACTCAATTTTCATGCCAAAGTTTGAGCCATTGACAGATTTTTTGCACTTCTACATTAGAATTTCTTCATAGAGAAGCTGATCTCACACTGGTTCCATCCGCTGCAATCGCGAGAGATCTCCAAGCAGAAAAGGTAACTGCAGGTAAATGTAGTAGCTTAGTACAAAGCTAATCCATGTGCTCTCTCAGTGTGATAAATCATCTTGTGCCTGTTGTTCTCTCACTGCTTCTTATTTGTTAATACTTTCAGCTAATAGGATCCGTCTTTGGAACAAGGGTGTCGATTCCGAAAGCTTCCACCCTCGGTATCGCTCTCACAAAATGCGATTAAGATTGAGGTGTTCTGCTTAATCTTTATATTCTTCCTCTCTTCTCGGTTACAGTCTAGTAATGTTTCTCATAATGGTTTATATTTTTGCTTTATACAGCAATGGTGAACCGGAGAAACCATTGATAATTCATGTCGGACGTATCGGAGTCGAGAAGAGCTTAGATTTCCTTAAAAGGTACCATTTATGAATTGCATGAAACATTGTTGCTAATTTCTTCCTATAGAATCATTCATGAAACACTGCAAAATCTATGATTCTACAGTGTTATGGACCGGCTTCCAGAAGCAAGAATTGCTTTTATCGGGGATGGACCATACAGGTAAATCTCAATGAATCAGGCAAAAATATCATGCATCTTGAAAATGTACATGATATCTTTCTTTGCAGGGAAGAGCTAGAAAAGTTGTTTAGCGGCATGCCTGCAGTTTTTACCGGGATGTTACAAGGTGAAGAGCTCTCTCAGGCATATGCAAGTGGGGATGTGTTTGTGATGCCTTCGGAATCCGAGACGCTCGGACAGGTCGTTTCGGAGGCCATGTCTTCAGGACTCCCTGTGGTGGGTGCTCGTGCCGGGGGAGTACCAGAGATAATCCCTGCAGACCAGGAGGGCAAGACCGGCTTTCTCTTTACTCCCGGGGATATTAACGACTGCATGAGTAAACTGGTGCCCCTGTTACAAAACAAGGAACTGAGAGAAACGATCGGCCAAGCTGCACGTGAAGAAATGGAGAAGTACGACTGGAAAGAAGCCACGAAAACGATACGCGACGAGGAGTACCGTGACGCCATTATGTTCTGGCGGAAGAAAAGAGCAGAGCTAACGGGACCTCTGCAGCAGCTCGCGGCATGCCTTTTTCCCGTCCCATGAAATCAACACAAGGTGATTTGGATATATTATATTAGGTTTGTTTAGTAGAATTTTAAGGAATTAACATGTTTATAGGGGATTGCAAACTTGTTCAAGGCTTCAAAGAGGCCCTTCTATGGTGTATGTATGTTGATCAATCTTTTCTTCTTCTTTGTTATATGTTGTTATTTATTTATTTATTTTAGTTTAATTACCGATATCCGATCTATTGATCGATAATTTCAAATTGAATTTTATAGAAACCCATTATGAGGGCGATCCTTCTTACCTAGTTTGCTATATATTGTTAACATGTAGTAATATTGTGAACTAGAAATGATTCGCTTTAAAAATCTTGGAATGAAATAGAATGGTTTCTATATTATATTGTATGAAACTTTTAGCTGACCTTTAATAAGTTCAAATTTTCTATCATATCTAGTTTTCCTGCAAATGTCCGATTTGGGCATAAACCTATGAGGTTATGAGTGAACTTGAGACCAATGAGAAGTCTCTTTTTGTTGAGGAAGAGGTAAAATGTACACATCCAATTCGGTCTAATCAAGAATCAGACTGACAAAGTCACATTGGTTAGTCGAAACAAATTCTAACTCAAAATGGGACAAAATCAGAGACTTGCAATCATTCAGGCTTAAATAGAGACTTATTTGTAAAGAATACAAATATAGATGTCATAATGCAATTTTTGCATGTTTGAGAGACCACTTATTGAATTTTAACTAATTTAAGCTGTAAGTATTGATGCTAAATTATCGATATCGATGCTATACGAATAATAATGATATTAAATTAATATTTTTGTATTTCTATTTTAGTTAATTGGTATTAATATCAAGATTTAAATATCAACACAAAGATAGACGTGCTTCCTACGTTCATGCATCCAAGAACAAAGTTCTCAAGGAAGAAAAATAATCGACCGGCCTACCCTGAAACATTTATTAATCGTCTAACTGCCACGTTAAATAGTAATTTGTGGCCACAAAGAAATTGATTGATTCTTCAATTTTTCAATAGTACGGATGCCATATCGCTCTTGTTTCTTAGGTGAGAGAAAATTTGAGATTCATTGATAATCGGTGATGGAAATAATTACTAATTTGAGTATGAAATTTGAGGTTGATTAAGGAAAGAAAATGGAAAATGGAAAAAAAAGGAAAAGGAAAAGGAAAAGTGGAGAAAAACAAATTTTATAAAGACAAAATGATGTTTTTTTTTTGGTCTAATTTGATATTTCGTTAGGATTTAAAACGATGTGTTTTGACATGTCATCATATTATCTGTGATTTAACGGTGAAGTGATTAAAATAAGAATAATTCAAAAATTAAAACATTAAATTAAAACATTAAATAACTTTAATAACTAAAATATGAGTAAAAAAAATTAAATGATACAATTTATTATTTATCGTTGTATACATAAACTAAAAATATCTTATTTGGATATTTAATTACGTGTGCTTGAAAGATTTAATTTAAATGAAAAGGACAAGTTGGTTTCCATTACAATAAGATATTGTGTTTGGTTGAAGCTTTTGGCATATGTCACAAACATTTCCCTAACCCTTGTGTATAGGGTGATTCATTTTATCGTTTTGGTAATGACAAAATAATCATACGAGGTTTGCGAATGGTGCACGCATTTATCCAATAATGCTCTCTTTCTGGCTGTGACAGGTACAATATCTGTTGGCAGTTACCAATTTATCAATTTAAGTAATTAAACTACTTTTTGTTTTCTGGATCAACTGTACATGGAGACCTAACCATCATTTTCTTTCGACGGAATTTAAATTTTTAAAATCTTAGAAATATATGAATTTATAAAATTCGTGAAACAAAAATAAATTAGCGATTGGTTCGGTTGCGTTTTAGGACCCTTGCAGAAGTAACGGGTGATGAGAATGGAGACAGTAACGGACAAGGACGTAATGACCACAAAAATGCACTTTCTCCAATTCTATTTCTTTCTCGCCGTGGGTTCATTCAATGACTCCAAAAGTTGGTTATCTGAAGCTGAAAATTCTTCACCCACTTTTTCCATTTTGATACACTACTTTGGGCATAAATAAAATTTCTCAAAATAATTTGGGGACACAGCCCCTCCCACTCGGCTCTCCTGAAAATACCCAAACATAAGTAGAATCTGATGTTATTTGACATTTCAGTTTACAATCTTTTAGAAGTGATATAAACTTATTGAAATTGCCACCAGTTTGGGTCCTCGGCTAAGTGGTAGAACATTTGACTGCAGATGAGATCTCCAGTTCGAGCCCGGTAGGGCCCTATCAATAGTATAATTTTTTTCCTCTCTTTAGCCAGTGTAAGGCACATTTGTTAAGTTTCTTTTAAAGCGAATCTTTATGTATAATTCTTATCATGATAAGAAACATTATGATCAGGACGGAGTCAGATTACATATTAGCAGAGTCTAAATGTTGGACTTAAAAAAATGATTTATTAGATAACTATATTTAAAATTCATAAGACAATGTTTAATTTGTCTAATATTTAAATTTATAATTACTTAAAGTGTTATTAGTCCAAACATTTGAGAACATAAGATTATCCTTCTTCGATTCGGTTTCTACTTAATTAAATATTTAATAAATTCTTATATTTTTTAAATTTGAATATTTATTTTTACATGAACTAAAATATTATTAAACCAAAATTTTTACAGAGATAAATAATAAAATAAAATTATTTAAAAGAATTTGATCATAGTAATGATTAAGTTGTTTTAGTGATAAAAAATATTGTTATCTAACATATTTATTTGAATTTATTGAGTAATTTCAGTGATAAAAAATAATGTTATTTTCTCTCAAAATCTTAGATTTAAGTAATTACGTTTATAGGATATGTGTACATTAACAAGAGAACAAAAATATTATGAATAAATATTATTATTTTTATTATTAATCTAGAGTAAGTAAAAGGTAGTATATGTTAAAAGATAACTCTCAATCATTTAACTTTAAACGTTCACACATCTGGCATGCTTAATGCTCAAACTCGATATCTCGAGAAATAATAATAATTCATTTACTATCAAAATTACTTAGTCCGTGTTGAACAAATATTATCTTATAATCACATAAGAATATTAAAACAAAGCATGTAATTATACATTGTTATCGCTTTTTTTCTTAATTGAAACTTATAAAACTTAGTAAACAACTCATCACCAAATGGGATTTACCCTTTTCACCGGTGATTCCATTACGGTGTACTCACTCACACCATTTCTGATACGTACTGCATGAACTCAGGATCATTCTCAACCGCCGACATGGTATCACGCGCCAAAACAACCTCTAGATCAACGCTCCCATCTCCTTCTCTTCCGGGAAAGGCTGAGATTTTCCCATCAAACTTGTTGGCCCTACCACTCCTCACTGCCAAAGGTCGACCCCACCCAAAATCATTATCGTACATCGGAAATCTGGGAGAACTTCCCATGGTGATCGACGCACCATCAGCGTTCCCCAACGGAAACAACCTCGGTTGCATCTCCCAATCCGCTACACCTCTCCGCACCGTATCATCATTGTGTGCCATCACATTTTTGTGCAGCAGATCGGCGGCCCAGCTCAAGTCCTTCGCCAGCAACTCGCCGGCTTGAGCATAATTCGGGATACTCTGAATCGCGTTGCCGAAGTAGTAGGGTTTGAGCTTTGGGTCCAGCCGGTGACGGCAATTCACCGCCATCCTAAACGTCGTTGTTTTCGTTGGATCCAGTTTCCTAGCGCGTGTTACCGACCTCCATAAATGAGCACAAAGCGATTGGAAAGACGAAATCTCATCAGTTCTGTTCTTTACCTTACCGTTTATTTCGTTATTAACGGATTTCCAACTGTCATTACAGATCTTGCCTATAACCTCGGAATTCGTTTGTTTAGTTAATAAACAACCGTAATTAGCTCTGTATTTAAGTTTTAAAATCGCTTCTCTACTGAAATGAAGAATTCTTTCCCTCAACGGTTCGTCGGCGGCGAAAGTAACGGTGGGTCCTCCAGGAGGGAATTTAAGCACGGCTTGAGAATTAAACACCGTATCACGACAGAAATCGGGATATTTCGATATTTTCAAACACCCTTTAGTAATCTCAGCAAAGGTGTTTATAAAAGTGCCATAACGAAGTCCCGTCCGTCACGGCGTGGTTCACCGAGCACCCGATGAAAACCCCGTCGACTAACTCGGTTACCTGAACCGCGACCAGGGGCTTGAAGTGGCCGGAGTAACTCAGCGTCCTGTCAAAAGTGAAGAACCCTTTGACAGAATCCGGGACATCTCCGGGACACAAAACGTTTAGAATTTCAAGATTAGGGGATTTCACCACAAGAAAATCAACGCCGGCATTGTTGCAGGTGATGTGCAGGTGACCGTCGGGGTCAGTGGTGAGACGACCGGCCAAAGGAGGGAAGTAGGAGAGAGTAGTGGAAAGTGATTGTTTAAGGAAATCAACGAGTTCATCGAATGAATAAGGAGGAGATGTAAGCAAAACCCCTTTTTGAATGTACTGACATGAAAGCATTGGGATGTCAGAAACTGAGAGCTTTAAGATTTTGATGTCGGATTTTCGCTCCGGGAAAACCGTGCATCTGGAAACAAGACTAAAACAAGGTGGAGAAGGCATGGTAAAGTGTATATCTTCAAGGGTTTTTCTCTGTTCTTGTAATTTTTTTCAATGTTTTTTGCAGATTAGTATAGAAAAAGTGGGGCGAGGGATGAAGGATGAGGGAAATGGGGTTTATATAGGAGGAAGGAAGGACTTGAGTTCATGAACTTTGAACAAAAAGGGGGTTACCTGGCAGTTGTTTCTTTACCCAAAAATAATTATAAAAAAAGGGGTCATCCATAGGTGTCATGAATCAGACCAAACAAAAACATATAATTTTGTTCTGTTTTGGGTTCATAATCCTACAAAAAGGATCGATCTACAAAAAAAAAAAAAATCCCACGTGCTACAATATCAATTCTTCTTCCGAGAAAGGTCTAAAATTGAAGCAGACATATCCTGGAAGCTGATGAACTTACTAGT